AGTTAGGGTAACGGTTAGAATTAGGATTAGGTTGGGGGGTTAATGTTAGATTGTTAGGTTTAAGGTAAGGATTATGGTTAGATATAGGGTTAGGATTTAGTTAAGGGTCAGGGTTAGGGTTAGGGTTAGAGGGATAGGTTTAGGGAAAGTTTAGGGTTAAGATTATAGATAGAAGTAGGGTTTGGGTTAGGATTAGGGCTAGGTTAAGTGTAAGTTCATGATTAGGTTAATTGTTACATGTAGGGTTAGGGCTGGGATTACGGTCATAATGGCAAACAGATTGTCGTGTACGTACGATAATGATCATAGAGGAGAATTCAGATATCTTCCAGGCAGCGGCAATTATTGCACCATCGATCGCCGAGGTTACGTAACGGAGATTTCAAGGTTACGCGTGACCCAGGGTTACGTGCGGCGAGGATTTTTATTCGAAAATCTATAGCTGAGGGGATACGACCCCATAGTGACGCACACGCGTCATCGAGCCGCGGACCTAATTACACGATTTTCTCAATTAAATTGAAGTTTTTTATAAGCTAGATTTTTTGTTAGGTTTCTGTACATTTCGCGTTCGTTCTCAACTCTTGCAGTTTGTCGCCGTGGAGGGTTTCGTGACGGCGGTCGTAGACTCGTTTCCGCAGACGCTGCGACGAGGTCACCGCAGGGAGGCGCTCGTTGCCTGCGTCGTATTCGTGTCCTTCTGCATCGGGCTTACCATGGTTACAAACGTAAGTGCTGCCATCGCGCGGAAGCCGCGGAATTCTGTAGTGTCGATTACAGTGATATCTCGCGCGGCGGTATATGTCGAAACGCGCGGCCGAGAGGCACCTAGTCTGTTAAATTTACCGAGTATGTGCTTGCATATATATATATATATATATATGCAAGCACATACTCGGTAAATTTAACAGACTAGGTGCCTCTCGGCCGCGCGTTTCGACATATACCGCCGCGCGAGATATCACTGTAATCGACACTACAGAATTCCGCGGCTTCCGCGCGATGGCAGCACTTACGTTTGTAACCATGGTAAGCCCGATGCAGAAGGACACGAATACGACGCAGGCAACGAGCGCCTCCCTGCGGTGACCTCGTCGCAGCGTCTGCGGAAACGAGTCTACGACCGCCGTCACGAAACCCTCCACGGCGACAAACTGCAAGAGTTGAGAACGAACGCGAAATGTACAGAAACCTAACAAAAAATCTAGCTTATAAAAAACTTCAATTTAATTGAGAAAATCGTGTAATTAGGTCCGCGGCTCGATGACGCGTGTGCGTCACTATGGGGTCGTATCCCCTCAGCTATAGATTTTCGAATAAAAATCCTCGCCGCACGTAACCCTGGGTCACGCGTAACCTTGAAATCTCCGTTACGTAACCTCGGCGATCGATGGTGCAATAATTGCCGCTGCCTGGAAGATATCTGAATTCTCCTCTATGATCATTATCGTACGTACACGACAATCTGTTTGCCATTATGACCGTAATCCCAGCCCTAACCCTACATGTAACAATTAACCTAATCATGAACTTACACTTAACCTAGCCCTAATCCTAACCCAAACCCTACTTCTATCTATAATCTTAACCCTAAACTTTCCCTAAACCTATCCCTCTAACCCTAACCCTAACCCTGACCCTTAACTAAATCCTAACCCTATATCTAACCATAATCCTTACCTTAAACCTAACAATCTAACATTAACCCCCCAACCTAATCCTAATTCTAACCGTTACCCTAACTATAACCCCAACTCTAATCCCATCACGTATATACGCACTGTACGGGCGGGCGGAAGGAAGGCTTGACGTCACGCGATGCTTACATACCTCACTGCCGAGTCCGAGCAACAGCAACATGAAGAAAAACAAGATGGCCCAGAGAGGAGCAATCGGCATCTGTGTTATTGCCTTAGGATACGCGAGAAACGCCAGTCCCGGGCCTAGAACACACGAACGCATAACACCGTTAACACGTAAATACGTGAACACATTAACGCATAAACACGCTAACACCTAAACACATGAACGCATAAACACGCTAACGCGTGAACACATAAACGCCTAAACACGGGAACACATTAACACATGTACGCATAAAAACGGGAGCTCGTAATCACATAAACAAATGAACACGTGAAGACATAAATACATGAACACGCGAACACATGAACAAATAGACATAC